CAAAAAAACTCCTTTGCTCTTTCTTATCACTTTTTCTTTTTTTTGAGACAGAGTTTCGCTCTTATCACCCAGCCTGGAGTGCAATGGTGCGATCTTGGCTCACTGCAACCTCTGCCTCCTGGATTCAAGCCTTTCTCCTGCCTCAGCCTCCCGAGTAGCTGGGGTTACAGGCATGTGCCACCATGCTCAGCTGATTTTTGTACTTTTAGTAGAGATGGGGTTTCACCGTGTTGGCCAGGCTGGTCTCCAACTCCTGACCTTAGGTGATCCACTTGCCTCAGCCTCCCGAAGTGCTGGGATTATAAGGCATGAGCCACCACCCCTGGCGTCCTTATCACTTTATCCTCAAGTAATTACCAAATGTTTGTACCTACTCTGTGTTTTTCTTCCATTAGGTTGAAACTTACAAAATTGCTTTTAACCTATGTAAGCAGCAGTTTCATTTTAAGCTAATGTTTCTACCCATGCCTTCTTCCTTGCTTATCAAGACTGTTAGAGTAGCCCTGTGTAATTTTCCTTCCTATGTTCTCTCTCCTCTCTCCTGTATCCTGTGGCTCCCACTTCCTCAGCTGCTTTTCAACCGTTGGCCCCTTTTAGGAAGCAGTTATGATTCCCCTGAGGTGAGCCACTTCCTCTGGCCTCTGTACTCCCCTCTGTGACAGCACTTACGGTCATATTTTAAGTTTCTTAGGTCATATGTTTGAATTTCTCCCTTGACCCTGCTGGCAGGTGATGGTGCTTATTTGTCTTTATGTGTACTTGGCTTATAACGGGCACTCAGTGAACATTTATAGTGGAAGGAAAATAGTAGCACTTAGTGCTCGTTTTTTGTGTGTTAAGGACTATTCTAGACATGTTGCAAGGCAAGTTCCTATTATGACTCTGCATGGCAGGTAAAATGTCTCTGTTGTATAGATTAGTAAACTGCAACTCAGGTTAAGTAACTTGCCCCAAGTCACAGTGACTTGTGTAGTTAGGAGAATAATGGCCACCAGGGTTTCCCATCCTCATCCCTGTTACACTGCATGGCATAGCGGGGTTAAGGTTGCTAATCAGCTGACCTTAAGTGGAGAGATGATCCTGGATCATCCCCATGGGCCTGGTGTGATCACAGGGTCCTTACATGTGGAAGAGGGAGGCACAGAGGAGGCCAGAGTAAGGGGATGTGGAAGGTGGCAGGAATCAAGGCATGGGGGTGCCTCTCAAGGCTGGAGAAGCGAGGAAAGGGTTCTCCCCTAGAGCCTCTCAGAAGGAGCACAGCCCTGCTGATGCCTTGAATTTAGCTCAATATGAGGATCATTTCAGACTTCTCACTTCTGGAACTATAGGTAATAAATCTGTATTGTTTTAAACTATTAAGTTAGTGGTAAGTTATTATGGCAACACTAGGAAACTAACAAATGACAAGTCTGGGATTTAAGCCTTGGTCTGAGGCTAAAATTTATACTATTTTTGTGATGCCACGATCATGTGACTTCAAGCACTAAATACTAATTCATTCATACGTATATATAAGGCACCCAGGAAGTACAGACTGTATGAATGAGTTATTAAAATTATAAGGCTGGGCAAGGTGGCTCCCGCCTGTAATCCCAGCACTCTGGGAGGCCAAGGCGGGCAGATCACAAGGTCAAGAGATTGAGACCATCCTGGCTAACATGGTGAAACCCTGTCTCTACCAAAAATACAAAAATTAGCTGGGCATGGTGACACATGCCTGTAATCTTGAACCCGGGAGGCAGAGGCTGCAGTGACCCGAGATTGCGCCACTGCCCTCCAGCCTGGTGACAGAATGAGACTCTATCTCAAAAAAAATTTGTATATATATGTGTATGTATATGTGTGTGTGTGTGTGTATATATATATGTAAACATTGTTTTTGAGACAGGGTCTCACTTTGTTATCCAGGCTGTAGTTCAGTGCTGTGATGTGGGCTCACTGCATCCTCAACCTCCTAGGCTCAAATGATCCTCCCACCATGGCCCTCCCCAAGTAGCTGGGGACTACAGGTGCGTGCCACCTTGCCCTGCTAATTTTTATTTTATTTTTTCTTTTTGAGACTGAGTCTTGCCCTGTCACCTAGGCTGGAGTGCAGTGGCGCGATCTCGGCTCACTGCAACCTCTGCCTCCTGCGTTCAAGTGATTCTTGTGCCTCAGCCTCCCAAGTAGCTGGGATTACAGGTGTGCGATGCCATGCCCGGCTAATTTTTGTGTTTTTAGTAGAGACGAGGTTTCACCATGTTGCCCAGTCTGGTCTTGAACTCCTGGGCTCAAGCGATCCACCAGCCTTGGCCTCCCAAAGGTGCTGAGATTACAGGCTTGAGGCACTGTGCCTGGCTGTGGGTGCCATCTATCTAAAGAGTGATGAACTTGGTGTTAAACCAGTGATTGAAATCACCAAGTTCCTACCATCATGAGCTCAGTCTAGTGGAGGAAACAGATGAACAAATAAAGCAGCTCTGCTGATTTTGGGGTTCAGCAATGCCCAGAGGTGGGGTGTAGTGAAGAGGAATGCCAGAATTTGGAGAAGTGGAGCACACGACCCACTGGTACTTTCTGAGGATGTAACGCAGAAGTCGTGGTCAGAAGGAGGAGAGGGAGACAACTGGGGAAGTGCTGGGAAGAGCAGTCATTCCAGGCAGCGGGTGCTCAGCACCCGGCCCCATGCTTGGCCAGCCTCTGACCCTGTGCTTAGCCTGCATGCAGTGGTCCGAGGGTCTATAAGAGCTGGCGTGTCGAGAGTGTGGAGGTACACAAGGTGGGCCAGAGTGAGATGGGAAGGACACAGGGTTGGTGTGTGAGGGTTTTCTGAGCTGGGATCTCATTCCAGATGGAGTGGGAGCGAGGGCTTTTCAAAAAGGAGTGGATGTGGGCCAAGAGATGTTTCACAGGGGTCTGCGTGACTGCTATTGGGTGTGGGATGTGAGTTAGTGTAGGATTGAGAGACTGTTTGTGAGAGACTGAGGGCTGCTGCACCTGGCGAAGAGAGGGTTTAAAAAAAATAGAAGCAGGCAGGGCACGGTGGCTCACACCTGTAATCCCAGCACTTTGGGAGGCTGAGGCGGGTGTATCATGAGGTCAGGAGTTCAAGATCAGCCTGGCCAAGGTAGTGAAACCCCATCTCTACTAAAAATACAAAAAAATTAGCCGGGCGTGGTGGCAGCCACCTGTAATCCCATCTACCCGAGAGGCTGAGGCAGCGAATTGCTTGAACCCGGGAGGTGGAGGTTGTGGTGAGCCGAGATCATGCCACTCCCCTCCAGTCTGGGTGACAAAGCGAAATTCTGTCTCAAAAAAAAGAAACAAACAGAATTTGCACACCCGTGTTCCTAGCAGCAAATCCATAGTAAGCCAAAGGGCCAGAACCACCCAAGTGTTCATCCAGGGATGAATGGATAAAATGTGGCGCATAGACACAACGGAACATTATTCAGACTTGAAAAGGCAGGAAAGTCTGACACATGCTGCAGCATGGATGAACCTTGCAGACAGGTTGCTAAGTGGAATAAGCCAGCCATGAAAGGCAAACAATGTGTGATTTCACTTACACGAGGTATGTAGAGTAGTCAGATTCACAGAGACAAAGTAAAATAGAGGTTACTGGGGCTGGGGGAGGGGAAATGGGAGTTAGTGTTTGATGGGCACCCTTCTGTTTTTGATGGTGAAAACATTTTGGGTATAGACCATAGTGATGGTTACACAACAGTGTGAATATATTTAGTGCCAACGAATTGTATCTGTACACATTGTTTGAATGATAAATATGTGTGTTTTACCACATTGAAAAAAGCAGAACAAGACTATGCTTGTACATGGAGTGGGCCACTAGAGGGAGGGGCTGCAGGAGAGTGGACCATGGAGGGCAGAGCCTGGAGAAGTCTGTCTTTGCCAAGTCCCCACACCCCAAACCCACTGTGTACTGTGGGTGTCCTTGTGTCTGCACACTTGTGTTTACTAACATGATTACTTTCTATTTGAATGACCTTTTCCCCAACTAGTACCTATTCTTTCAGTCTCAGAACAAATGCTACCATATCTGGAAAGCCTTTATAGAATACTCATAGTCAGAAGAAATCTGCTTGTCATGAATTCCAAAGTAGCTCTTTTTCGTATCTTTTTTATGCCACCATCCTGCAACCATGCAGATGTGTCTCTGCTTTAAGGCCTCTCTGAGCACATTCTCTCTCCAGCTCCTATCACATCATCATCAGGGCTCTGTCTCAAATATGTCAGTCCTTGCAATAAAAGCAAACAGTTCTTGAGTCTTTGTTGATTACGAGTCACTGTTAGAAGGGTAGAGAAATTAGTGATGAATAAAGCATGACTCTATAGCTACAATGAATAATCCGGTGGGAGACAGTTATGCAAATAACTGTGATGTCAGTCAGGCCAGGATTAGAGCCTCATGTTATAATTGTGTGCCTGTTTTATCTTCCCTTTTAGTTAATAAGTATGCTGAGGTCAAAGATCATAATTTATTTGTATTTGTAATTGTCATAATATCTTGGCGTGTACTGTTTTTTTCCTGTTTTTTTTTTTTTCTTTTTCTTACATGTACTACGTGTCGAGTAAATGCCTGGGTGTATTGGGGGGAAATGATATGTTTGGCCATGAGTAAGTTATTTTATTTAATCCTCCAAACTATCCTAAAAGAAAGGTATATACTGTCCCTATTGCAAATAAGAAAATTGAGGCTCTGAGAGATTATCTAACAGAGCTTGTAAGTGATGAGTCGGTGTTTAAATCTCTCAGAGCTTGTAAGTGATGGGTTGGTGCTTAAACCATGTCTTTGTTATTACAGATTTTCTTTCTGTTTTCTCGCAGTCGTAACCGTGCAGCTGTAATAACTTGCAACTTTAGCTAGATGGAATGATGAAAGATGTTTCTCCTGAATTCACAAGAGACTAATGGGGTTAATATAGGTGTCAAGCTGTCTGTAAAGTGTGTCATGTGATACTGTTATTACGATTTGTAACAGAGGCTTCTTGGTATTTCCGTAGATCCCCAGACATCAAGGGAGATTTTTAATTTTGTACTAAAGGCAATTCGTCCTCAGGTAGGATTAATATTACTATTAATATTATTCTAATGCCTTTACAGTATAGTCTTTCAAATACTGATGGTGAATTTTTTTTTTTCTAAAATAGATTGATCTGAAGAGATATGCTGTGCCCTCAGGTAGGATTCTGTTTATAATGAGGTATAATATTTTAGATTACTAAATTAACATCTCAGGTAAGCTTTTGCTTAAACTTTGAATGAAAGCAAATGTGATAACATCTGTGATGTTTCACATACAGTTATTTACAGGGAGGCTTTCGGTGACTTAGTAAGCTCGCTGAAATGGTGATACTCAGGTTACATGGTTGAAATCATTTTATTTTAGGATATCTTTCAGGGGATCCAGGCTGTTCGATTCTGCCTTTGCCTCAATGAATCCTGATTCCACTTCTGACCCTTGTATTGGGATTTGTTAGTGAAGTTGGGCCTGTTGATTGGCAGCGTTAGAGGCTGACAGGGATCCCTGGGTTACTGTGGTGTAATGGTCAAGACTGACCACAGTCTTGACTTTGACATATCCCTGCAGGTTTTTTGGTTTTCTGTTCTGTCTCATGTCGTCTGATTTTAAATATAATGGCTTTTGCATTTGCAGCTGGCTTGCGCCTATTTGCCCTGCATGCATCTCAGTTTAGCACCTGCCTTCTGGACAACTACGTGTCTCTATTTGAAGTCTTGTTAAAGTGGTGTGCCCACACAAATGTAGAGTTGAAAAAAGCTGCACTTTCTGCCCTGGAATCCTTTCTGAAACAGGTACCACACATTCAACTGTCATTTAACAATATTCTTTCACACGCAGAATTAAATTCCCATTGTATGCATACGTGTTTGAAAATAAATATAAGTTGATCTGTTAGCTTCTGTAGTATTTAAAGCAGAAAACTGTTGATCAACCAGCCTCATGGGAGGCAGCCAGACTGAAAGAGAGCTAAGGAGATGCCAGATTTGATTAGGGCCTCAGAGCCCAGATTGAGACAAGTCTAATGGAGTGAAGACATGGTGGTGAGGAGGTGGCCGAAAGGGCTGGGAGGTCAGAGCTGGAGAGTGGGTGGAGGCCTGAGGATAGCTGAACCCCATCTCTTCTGGAAGAGGAGGGCCAGCTGTCTCCAGGGGACAGATAGATGCTTATGTGTCAACTTGAAAACGAGGAGCGCCTCTTTGCCGTTGTGGATTTTCCACCTCGATAGGAGGTGGTTATAGAATCTGCACCTGCGTACATGGAAGCTTGTCTGGTCGGCTGAGGAGACCTTGCTTGTCATTCTGAGCGCTGGTCTCCAGGATATCCTGGGCTTCCAGAGATGTCCGCAGGGGCCTGGCCACTAAGGAAGTGGACTTCTGGGGTTGCTCTGAGGGAAAGGACTGGAGATTCACAATAAACGTTTTCTTAGGGGCCCTGCTGTATACATGGGTAAACAGTAACTGCATTCACAGGGTATCCTTGCAAACCTGTGTGAACAGTGTTGCAGTTGTGTTAGCTTGAGAGTCACAGCCAGGATGTGTGGAAGGAGAAGAGAGAGCACTGCCATCCTTTTTTTAGGTCTGGGCCTGCCTCCCAAAAAACTGAGCCAATGGGTCTTGTCTTTGGCCCCTGCCTCTGTCGCCTGTCCCTCTTGCCTCCTTAGCCTCCCTGCTGTACTTGGCCTTCCTGTCAGACTGTGTTCTCCCTGAAGTCACTCTTGGCTTTTAGGTTACCTCTTCTTGGTCCTCCTCATAAAACTTCTGTTCCGCTGAACTTGGCTGGCCTTAGTTGCTAAGGGAAATAAAAATCTGAGGAATTACTTTTTACTGATTCATATGAATATGTTTGCATCTCAGTGAACATTTACTGCAATAAACATCTTGACAGAGAGAATTTCATGCTTTGTTAGCAAGGAGGAGTGTCTGGGATGTGTGCAGAGGGGTCATCCCTGGTGGCACCCCTGGGGCCTTGTTCCCTAGTGATGGCCTGCCTTTCCTAGCACAGGGCTGAGTGGGGCATGGGCCCGCAGGGAAGCCCGCCAGCCCTCCCTCCACTGCGCTGGTTGTCTTTAATGAACCACGCAGACATCTTTGTTTCACATCCTTGCCAGAGACTTTTCAGTTCCCCACTCCAATTCTTAACAAAAACTACATCGAATAGATTTTAGAGTTTCATTGAGGAAATATATTCTACCTGCTAATCTCGTGAGAAAGTTATACGAGCTTAGTCAGGGGAGAAGTTCAAGAGAACTATCCTCAATGCTGCCTTCAGCACTGATACCTGTTGCAAGTTTGGGAGTTTCCAATACACCCTCAAATTTGATACAGCTATGGTTTATTACATCTAAAGGGCCCAGATAAAAATCAACCAAAGGAAGCAGCACATGGTGTAGAGACTAAGAAAGTACCAAATGTGGAGCTTCCCTGGTCCTATCCCCACGGAGTCAGGGCAGCATTCGTTTCCCAGCATCCATGTGTGACAGCATGTGTGGAGCACTGACTGGGTGCTCCCCCGAACCTCTGTGTTTGGGGTTTCCCTTGGGGACCCACCCTGTAGGCATAGTGGGTTGTTGGGTCTCAGCTTCCAAGGATTCTATGTGACCCAAAGCTCCCATTCCGAGTCACATTGTTACCAGGTGTGGCCGTCCCCACCATGAGTCCCATTATTAGATCATCCCTTGTGACCTGAGGCCCCAAGCAAGGAGAGAGACCCTCCTTCCCTCCTACTTCAGAATAGGGAGTGAGGACAGAGGAAGAGGGAAAGAGGACTTTACATAAAGGATACATAATTTTTTGGCCTTAAGATTTTCCTCTATGTTGAATATATTTTCCTCACAGTGACATCTATATGTTTTTTTTTTTTTTTGAGATGGAGTTTTGTTCTGTCACCCTGGCTGGAGTGCAGTGGCGTGAGCTTGGGTTACTGCAACCTCTCTCTCCTGCGTTTAATCAATTCTCGTGCCTCAGCCTCCCAAATAGCTGGGATTATAGGCACCTGCCACTGTGCCTGGATAATTTTTGTTTTTTTTTTTTTTTTTGTGACGGAGTCTCGCTCTATCGCCCAGGCTGGAGTGCAGTGGCCGGATCTCAGCTCACTGCAAGCTCCGCCTCCTGAGTTTACGCTATTCTACTGCCTCAGCCTCCCGAGTAGCTGGGACTACAGGC